ATTATGAGATAAAATACGAAGTGAAATGCTTTTGAGATTTATGATTTTGTTGAATTGCAGCAAATTGTGCACTTCAATTAATTTCACACAATTTCTGGTATAAAGTTAAGTTGAAAAAATAAATCTTTTTTTTTTGTAGTTGATATTTTATTTGATATGATGGAAGTTTTTTTATTCATTATTATCAATGGAAAATCTATTGTGCAGAACATTGAAACAAGTTTATTATGATGGCATGGATAGTTCATAAATAAATTTGATTAAAAAATTCTAACTCTTTGTTATCAATAAATAATATTATTTTAATTAAGGCAATGAAATTAATTACAATAAAAATTATTTATTCATTGATTAATTAAAATTGGATTATTTATGCAACAAATTTACACATCCAACTCAGTTTTAATGCACAATCAATTTGTAGAAAACTAATTTTTCGTTTGCTTGCTTAATAAATAATGCAGCGTAAAGTTTCCGCTTCACCATTTCAGTGCCAAATGTAAATGGAGCTAAGCTTAGGAACAGCTGCATTCAGAATTTATTCAAATTTCTCGTAAATACGTAAAATCAATTTCATTGCAGCTATTCAATATGTGTTAATACCAACAAATTTATCACATCTGGCGATTTTGATAGATGGGGAAATAATGCAAACTATAAACCGATTATATTGTCCAAAATTATTTTTTTATTCGACTGCATGCATTACTAGGCATCCATCATCTTAAGAATTACTCCAAGTGCAAGTGTGTAAGCAGCTGCGGCAGTAACAAAAGTTTACAGATCGAATTGAATTTATTCGTAATGACTGAGCAGCCAAACTTGGGTTGCAATTCAAATTATATTGTAAAACATAATTCAGACATTGAATCCTTATTGGAGTGAATAAAAAACTCTCTGAAATTTACTTGAATAAATCATAACCACCCAAATATCGAATATTTTGTTCGTAAGTGGCAGCAAATTTTGTGCTCACATTACTAAATCCCAAAAAGGATTTCAAATGAATTATGTATGAATCATAATTCAATTAGATTTGTTGCATTTAAAAGTAAGAAATTTAATTAGATTTTCTCATATGTATTACACATATATAATAATGGAATGTGCAACTGTGCACATATAAATCAAAAATTTACTTGAATTTACCTTTCATTAAGATTTGTTTTATAATTAAACCCATAAGTATAAGTATTTGCTTAAATATTACTCAATTCACTTACTAAATTGATTAATAAATTTAAATCATATTTTTATTTACCGCTAATTACAAGTACATCAATCATGTGGGCTCAATTACACGGACAACAGTGCGTATGTGTAACATCGTATTTCATAAATACAACTTTGTGCATACATAACGAGTAACGAAACAATCACTTATGATATGCGGATACACGGATATGCGGATATGCCATTAAGCCACTGAAGCGTTTTATGTAATTAAGCAGAACTTTGAACGCAGCTACTTATGTAAATAATAATTTATATATTTATAATTATGAAAAAGGCTACTCTACCTATATTGTATAATTAATACTAATAACGGCATCCTTGTATGGAATTGGTGTTGAGTATATAACATTATGTACTTTGTTCATTAATTAGCGAAGTCATTTGCTGCATACTTAATCTGTTGAAAGCATCACATTTCATGGCTTTTTAACTTAATTATTTCATTTATTGTAAATATTAAATAAGTACGCATTTTATATGCACTTTAAGAATTATTGTAAAAACCATGAAGTGTATTATAATAATATAAATATTATTTATTTTATAACCACAATTATCAATATTGTGTTGTATTGTGCTATTGTCAATTTCCTGAAGGCGACTTCAGCTTAATGTCGAAATATTGAAAAGGAATAAAAATTAGTGTGAAATAATATAAATTGTGTTTATTAATTTTTATTCATAACAATAACTGAAATTAATTCCACAATACAACACAAAATTAAAGATATTTAATAAAAAATTATTTTAAATGTATTTTTGTTTTATAACCAAACAATTTATTAATTTGAATATATACAATAAACAATAATTTTAATTTATCTGAATTGCATATACGTTTACAAATTGTTCAGTCATCATCAACTTAAATATCATCAACAGAAAAGACCTGTTGTTGACTTTCTCTTAAGCTATGTTAAGGTAAGTGTGTGGGATATCAGTTGCACCATAACAGGGATAGAATGGTTTAACAGCCTTTGATTAGACGATTCACTGCATTTCTTAATTCTTTGTTTAATTGTAGTAACTTTGAGATCTCAATGAATTTGGTTGTTTGTGACATTTGACATATCACATATGAAGTGGATACAATCATGCTTAAGGTTTCTGACTAGGATCTTTGTAAGATTTCAATATTAGATATTCCTGCAATACCCTACATTTTAATTCCGTATATACAGACGAGTTCTAAAACAACTGAACACAGTAACAATTTACTGTAGATTGTTATTTGCAATTATCAGTTGATTAACTAGCGCAGATTTTAGAGTTTTGATGCCTACTACGTTCGATTTTAAAAATTTATATATTTTTCACTTTTATTTTCTATCAAACTGCAGGTCTATTTCAATGCCTTACATTATAGTACACTGACTTACTTAATTTTAAAGCATTGGCAAGTTTTTTGTGAAGGTTTGCTTGACAATTATTATCGGTGCCAACCTTGTTTAGTTGGATTTAATTGACCATTTTCTTTTAAACAAAAAGTAATTTTTTGTAGTCCTCTTTGGAGTTTGGAGGTAGACATATTTTACCGGTTGAGTTATAAGCACATTTATCCTACCTACTAAGCCACCGAGGCTGCTTTGAGGTAGATACATTTTGTAGTAGTAGCAATTGTCAGAATGGCTGTGGTAAGAAAGTATTTCAAATAATGGTATTTTTAGTAGTTTTTATGTCGTATGTGTAAGATAAAAAATAAATAACACAACTATCGTCCTGCGGATTCTCATATATAACACATGAATTTTATATGGTATTTAAAACAATATCCTTAAAGTTAATATATTTATTCCTAATTAAGTTAGACGAAGATACCACCCTAGATCTGCGATCTGATATTTTATTGTTACAAATTCATCACCGCGTCGTCAAAGATTATTTAATATGATAAAAACCAGCCGACCTGTTTGAATATAGCCGAAAATGAAGAAATAAAAAATCAATAATTACACATTTCACATTACAATAGCATAGCATTAAGCTACCCGCTAGCAAGCAGTATTTTATGATTGGTGTGATTGCTCTTTTACGGCCAATGTAAGTTAAAGTAATTGAGAATTATAATTGAATAATAGATTTTCACATGCTTTATGTGTATATGTGTTTTATACAAAAAAATTGAACGAATGCCGTTGGTGAATTTCGAACGAAATATATAACACTGGAGAATATCTTATAACACTCTAGATACAATACTAAAGCAGCAAGGTTACCCTCAAATTAACAGTTGTTTTATATGACTTGGCAAAAAAGGTATGATAAGATTCGGTATATGTATGTACTTATGAAATATATACATAAATGTCTACTTATACTACTACAAAAATGTTAGATTACTTTAAAAATGTTCGATTATGCAACAGGATTTAACAGACCAAGAGTAAATCCAGTTTGAATCCAGATTTACTAATCGTAAACGCGATAACAATAGGTTTTGTGTATTATTCATACGACACTTTATTATATGATTATAATAATCAATTATATTAACCCGGTAATGTGTTGTTATAGCCATATTAGTAAGTAAATACTAGCTACACTAGCTGTATGGGACTGAAGCACTTGCAGATAGGCTTACGTCAGAATAAACAGGTTGTTTTGACTATAGCAGCTTTTTGAGGCTTGTATTCGTATTCTTCTAATGCAGAATAAAACGTAAAAGTATCATACATACTATGAAAAATTTACTTTATTCTAAATGCGGTTATTTTTGTTTTTTAAATATATAAACTTTTATTTCGAAAGTTTTTTTTTTTGTGTATCTCTACACGTGTTTCGGCAAATTCGCTTTTGCCTTCATCAGGAGAATTCCTATTCTGTTCTGAAAATTTATGGAGCCGAAAACCTGAAACGTATCTCTTCTTACTTTTTTCTCTAAGTAAATTTTCTAATGTCAACACTTTTAAATTCAATTTATGCTTGCTGCAATGAATGAATGTTAATGCTAATATATTAAGTTATTACAAATATAAATACTGTTCATACACAGTTTTACGGACTCTAATGTTAACAGTAACATTTATTTAACTGTTAAGGTATGAGTTTGTGAAATTTTCAAGTTCCTTAACATAATTGTTTACTTTCTTTAATAATTGCAGTTAACTTATTACTTGTCTTACTTATGCAGTAGTTATTTCATTCAGCTGTCTGTTGAATTACTCGTATTTACATTATTTAAACACTTCTTACGATTTAATTTCAGTTTGAGGGTTTTTCTTTCATTTGTAACCTCAAACTACTATTCTTTAATCAAGTAGTTACAAATTCCTTTTTCAGTTTTTCGTATGGAGTCGACTTTAATTTATCTTTGTACAGTTTATTTGCATACAAAATAAATTAAAAATTGTTCAATTAATGGCCATTTTACTTAATAATACTCAACGTAAGTTTTGGTTGTTTTTTGTTTTTTTTTTTTGTGCCTACGTTTTTGTGTAAGCAGTAATCTATGTGCACTTAAAGCATTTCACAACAAATTTTTTAATTAATTTAATTAAATTTATGTGAAAAGCAGTGAAATTGCTTTTCGAGTCTCGCATACACAGTAAAAGCAACACACAGTTTTTACTGGAAGGATTCGATGCTGAAATGAATGAATGAAATGGACGAATGAAGGATCTGACGCGAATGCGAGTCATTAATTTTAAATCCACACTGAAACCGTAATATATATTTACATACTTACATTTCATATATTGAACAGATGCAATAAATAACAAATAATTTAAAATAAATTAATACATTATAAATCTTTTTATTTGGTTAATTAACAGAAATTTGGTACAAAGATAAATTCAATTTTTTTGTTGTTTTTGCTCTTCTTCTGTGTTAAGTAATTTTTATGTTAACATTTATCAAGTGTAAGTTGGCGTGTGTGTGTGTGCGCGTGTGTGTGTGTGCGTTGGACCATTTAATGCATTTAACTGTCATAAGTAACACTTGCATTAACAAATACATATTTATGTTTACACTCATGTACATTAATGTTAAATTGGTTTGTTGTTGTTGTTTGCATTTAATATTTTGCTTAAAGCCATTTACTGCAAATGAACTGATACAGTTAAACTCTTGCCACGATATTGTCTTATGGCAACTCGCACATTCGAATCAGTAAGGCGGTTGTTCGCTTGACTTTGCATGTGAGCCGCAAGACAACTATAACATAACACAGCTGTACAGTGCCAGCAGTGGTGTCTATATAATTTGTACAGTACAAATGAAACACTTAGACTAGTGTACCCATTCGAGTGATGTCAATATTTTTTACATTCAAAGGCGCCGGTATTAATTGCTGTACTTGCGTTGGCATTGTACTTAATGGTAGCATGCCACTAACATAGTTGCTACTGGACTGCTGTATGTAATGTTGAGGTTGTTGTTGTTGTTGCTGTTGCTGTTGCTGTTGACTGCTACTGTTGTTGCTGTTATTATTGTTGTTGTGCCTAATGGCGATTGACGTTGGTGAATTAAGAGATTTTGGGCAGAACATTTGCTTCTTAACGGTTTTAACATTATTCACATGCAGTGGTAAAATGTTCTTATCGATGAGTAACGGTGGCGGTTGCTGCTGATGCTGATGCTGCTGCTGCTGTTGCAATTGATGTTGTTGCGGTAAATGTTGTTCGGTAGTTGTGTGGGTCTGTTGTAACGTTAATACATTACTGGACATAGTCGAATAAGTATCTGTGATGCAGCCAACACTGCCATCGTTATGATTAATGCCACTAATTGGATAATTACTGTGCTGCTGTACTGTTTTTATTGTTGGCTCTTGTGGTAGATATGTTGCTGCTGCTACTGTTGCTGTTGATGTCGCCGCTATTGGCATTAAAATTGGTAGAGCAGTTCTCGTTTGTGCTGCTACTGTTGTGTCTGCTGGTTTCGCAATTAGCTTTTGTAGATTTTGCAAATCTTCCGGTGTATAAATTTCGTTTAAATTAACTTTTGGAATTTGCGTTTGAAAAGTTGCCACTGCATTCACCGTTTCTGTTACTTCTGTTTTTGTTGCCAGTTGTGGTGATACTGTATATGTTGTTGCTGTTGTCATCAATGCCTGCGTTGTTGTTGTAGAGTCATGCAAAACTTTATTTTCTTGCGTATAGCCAACCATCGAAGAAATTGTTGGCGTGTAGTGCGTTGTGACCCCAGCAGCTGTTGTTATTGTTATTGCTGCTGTTGGGGTTGTTATCTTATTGGCCATTATATTGTTAACATTATTGTGTTGCTGCTGTGGCTGCTGCTGGTGCTGCTGTCGCTGTTGTGGTTGCGTTAGTTTGTTTGCTTCGAAACTATTTGCATTGCACGTAACAGGCGAGCAATTTGCTTTAATATCACAGCTACTAACAGCGTCTTTAATTTCAGTTATTTCATCTAAGTCTTCACCGACTTTGTTGGCTGCAGTGAGCAAAGCAAATCCTATTGGTTGTGCATTCATTGTTGTTGTTGTTGTTGTTGTTGCTGTTGTGGTTGCATCAAATTCTTCATTTAACTTTTCTAGTATAGTAAGTTTCTGTTTAAGTTGTTCATCCGTTGTCATCAGATTATCCTCCACTTTACTTATGTCACAGCATTGAAGTGCGATCTCAGTGTCGAGTTTGTCAATTTGTTGAAGTACCTCGTTTTTGGTTTGATATGCACGCTTCACCTGATGTTTACGTATTTTGGCATGTAGCTTCACCAGAATTTCCTCTTCCCGTTGCAGTTGCTTATTAATCGCATATACCTTTTCCAGCCATAATATTTGCAATTCGATTTCCTTCGGATTTCCGTTGGCTGTGCTGTCGTTGGGTGTGGGCGGTAAGTTCACTTCATCATTATAGGTTTCTTCAGTTGAGATGCGAAAGTCTTCGTTCTTACATTGTTTGCGTTGCTTTTGTTGTTTTTGTTGTTTTATCTTCTGAGAACTTTTTGTTTTCGCTGTTGGCTGCGAGTTAACTTCTTTTGTTGTTTTTACAGTTGTTTTTGTTGTTATTTCCGTAGCTGGAAATTGATGATATGGTTCATCTGTATGCAAAATTATTAAAATTTTTAATAAAGGGAATTTGTTTTTAAAGGCAAATGTGCTACAGTTGGTGCTCAATGACTTAATCGGGTCACATATGCTTGCTTCAAAATAAATTGGTAAAAACGTTTTATTAGAGTCAGAGTCAAAGTAAAGACACAGGAAAGGGAGGAGGAAACCATTCAGGAAAACAGGAAGTTCAATAGGAAGGAAGCTACATGGGTAGCAATGACTGTATGAACATAAAATACTTAAGCAAGTTATAAAATTTTAAAGCTAAAGTTAAGGGTCAATCTGTTTCCTTAACAAAGTCAATTTGACTGCTATTTTATTTG